GTGAAGCCTTGCCTATTTCCATTCCTGTGCCGTTCTCAGTGTCACCCTCTGCCCCTCATCTTCAAACGTTTCCTCATCGGCCTCCCATCCGGTTTCCTATGTCATATTTGCTGTCCCATACTCCCTAGTAGAACCCAGTTCCTACGTACTAGCTCTGTGCTTTGTTTAGTAGATAGCAGGTACAAGAAAGTTAAAGAGATCACCAATTGCACTGGCTCCCAAACACATCCCTGTGTCGGATGCGCACACAACTAAACCCTCCGCCAGCCATACACTCGCCTATACTGCACACCCCAGTCGGTCCTAAAAGAGCCACTGCGGCCTCCTTCATTTCCCAATGGCTATTCGATGGCGCTGAATGCGCAAGAAACAGCGACCAAGGCCCTCGTGCTACAAGGAAGGACCGGAGGCAAAACGCAGACTCTGCCGCACCAGGTGGCCATGGCGCCCGGAAAGCCACTGCATGAATGTACATATTACTACAAACATATCCATAGATATTTCACGCATGCAAATCTCCAACACAAAGCCACTAAACACAGGGCAAAGGAGACGGTAATATCAATGCGCCGTACTGTGGAGTCTGATGCCTCCCACGGGAATTTCCCGTCTGTGGTCATTAAGAAGGGGCATTTATAATAATGCCATCAGAAAACATGAGTAGTCGTAGTCCTTGCGCCTTTCAGAGCCTTCTTAGCTTAAAGACCTCTTCTTACCCTGCTGCCTCTGTGCCCTCCTCTGGCTCGGCCTCTCATGGGTGCTTTACCCCTGCCACCAAAGGCTGGCCCATCTGGGCCCCGAAGCCTCCCGCCTTCAACTGCGTCATGCTCACTCTCCGGAAGTTCCACCAACTCGTATTCTTGCTCGCTCATATCCTTGGCCGTGCAAACTGAAAAATTGAAATCCTTAAAGTCCTCGTTTCGAGCATCTCTGCGCGGGCAGCAACAAGCTTTGACATGAAGGCAACTGGAATACGAAAACAAAAGCAACAACAAACGCAAGCCGAGCAGAAACAAAGCCTCAACGGAGACTGCTGTAGCAGCCAGCATAGCCAGCTTTCTTACGAGATCTTTCCCCATCTATCGACGATAAGTTTCATGTGACCTTCTTCCATTTTGACTCGTGCGTTTCGAATCAACAGAGGCGTATTCACCACGTCAGGCAACTGCAGTTGCTGACCTTCCAAGCTAAGGCAATAAAAAAAGAAAGCAATCATTGGGAAAATTAGTGTGCCTACACATTCATTACGGCATGCATAGACAAAAGAATAAAATTGAGCTTCAGCGGGGGTGGGGGGGTTGATGTTCTATTGCCAACACTGTTGCCTCTGTTATCGCCACGGCTTTGCAACTGTAGCTTGCACTCACTTGAGAGTTATCATGGCTTCGTCGTCGCCTACTACCATTGAAGCTCTCTTGATGATCTGACTGCGAGGCAGCACTAAGTCAGCCTGTATGCCGCACCACACCGTAACAACCAGCAGTACGCCTCGAACAAATCTAGCACGCTGCATCAGGCGGCCGCGCTCTGAGTTACATTATCCGCCTCCTAAACATGTCCACACGAATATGCAAGACCACAATGCCTATGTAGCATCGTGCTTTCCCGCTACGAGATCTGAATGCCCCTGGATGCACTGGACATGCAGAATAAACGCTAGTACGAGCAGCGGATCACACTGCATACTAGTAATTTCATTGGCTCAACGACCTTAACCCGTAGATTGACGCCGGTGCAAAGTGGCGTAAGAGATGAGATTTTCCTGAATTGAGCTGCTGCCTTCTTGAGAGGTGTCCCCAGAGCTCCACTTCCGATTTCACCTCTGCAGAAGCCCCCAAGGGCTCCTGCTTTGCCGTCATGTGCCAATTCTCCAGGAGGTTTGGGGATTTTGATTTGGTGATAACGAAATTCGACTAGGAGAAATAGAGAAAAAATAGCACGCGGGTCCAGAGTGGCGCGCCAGGTGTCACCCATGTATACCACGCTGCAACAACAGCAACGGACTCCGGCAAACGCACCTAACGATGCATCATATGTCCAAATCATACAAGGCAAGCCCAATGCCAAAAATCAAAACCACTGATACTCAAGCCTATCCCCAGACTAGAATGCTTGACTTTCGTTAGAAGGAGAGCACCACAGAAGAGTGCTTCTGACCTGAGTCCTAGGTCTGCCGGCTGCTGAGCAGAGCCGATCGTTGCTGGAGGAAATCCATATCTCTTAGTTCGTCCTATTTCCTGTTCCAATTTCTGCAGTACGTCTGGGGTGGCCACATTCCTGTACAGCAGCAGCCGTGACCTCACTGTTGTGGATCCATCAGCTGGTGCAGCTGACGTAACTGCAGACGGGCAACAGGTGACGCCTGCCTCGCCCACAATTCTGCCATGCGCCGCAGAGAGAAGATCCACGCAGTCGTCTCTACGTAGGCAGAGACCAACGTATCTTTCCAGTAACTCAGCACAGGGGCCCGTCAATTTGCCTTCGGCGTCGAAGTGACCTTCTATGAGGCCCAGACTTTCTGCTAAGCCTGCAGACAGGTCAGGCCGTTTAGAGAAGACACAGAGCTCCAGGTTAGTCACAGAGTTGCGCAGCACGATCAGCACCGCAGCCTCGTGAGGACGGAGAATTACTGGACGAGCAATCAAGGCGCCATTGCTAGTCGTTGCTTCCACGTCTGCAGAAAAACCGATCCAGGCCTATGTGGGATAAGCATACAAAATTGGACAACAGTCCGAAATCAGCGCTAATACTTATATGTTCTTTCGGAAGTTGGGAATGGCGCTGCAATAGTTCCAGTTACTTACTGAAAGAAATTTCGGGTTTGAGCTGTTGAATTGTAATGCGTTCAACCTTCAATCTGCCTTCGTGGCAAAAAGAGGCGGCCCATTCCCCAAAAAGAGGACTCTTTTGCAGCTGCTCCCAGGCATCGGCTGGAAGTCCTCTATAGAGAAATACAGAAACAATTAGATAGTAATGAGGTAGACAGACATGGAAAACAGGAAGATCACTGAAAAGACCCAAAAGGCCAACATGCAGCGCAATGAATGAAGATAGCGTGTTTGTCATTTGCCAATTACAATCAGTTTAATTCAGAAGCGATGGTCGTTCCTTGTAATATTACAACTGTGCACGTAGAGATGCAGACATGACGAGCCGCAGACTACCCCGCAACACCCCGCTTTCCTCACTTGGCAAGGTGCACTGAAACGGGAAAGCTTCTGTGGGGTCCGCTAGTCAAGGAAAAGGCAGGAGCGGCCCCACCGCCTGTCTCGACGGAAAAGCACTCGGTCATCTGGGCAGAGAATAGTAGCACAGTGGGCAGCGGCAGGACGATGCTAGGGCTGCACGACATGCGGGTGGGTTCGCTGGGGTGTCATGTCAACAGATCCCTAGTAAAATATTTTACAATGTCCCCCACAAGAGGTATGCATAGAGTAGAGACGAAGACAGGCTGCAAGAGAACCGGTTGTTACATCATGTATAACGATTCCAGCGGCGCCTGCAGCAGCAGCTTTGGGGTGGGGAAACCCGCAATATGCATATAACATCAATACAGTCCGTATAACTCGGAGAATGCTCGAGTTATTTAGGTTTTGGAAGGCCGAGAAGAGAGACGGAAGAGAGAGAGGAGCTAAAGTTGTACCATACATTGGGTGTGGTCACTGGGAGGCTGTGGCTTCCTACTCTCGCTTCACTTGAGGAAGCCAGAAAGGCACATAGGTACAGGAATTATTTACAAGGACTAGCAAGAAAAGGTTGGAGCAGTAGCCAAGGAGCAGCTGCTACACAGAAAGCCGCGGCGGCGGCCGGGCAGCAGCCAGCCACCACCCAAAGCCCGTCTTCATTTCTCTCTCACTACAGTGCCTTTTTCGACTTATTTGCTATGAGAATACTTGTCTACAATATAAGAATATGGGGAGGGGAAACTTATTTGCCCCACTCTGGAACGTAGACAAGCCAACGCATAGCTACCAAACGCAGTCGCAGATTTTATTACACGGCAAATCGTTCCCGTGGGGGAAATCGGTGATTTACCCAGCTATTGCTGTAGTGTATATACATATATATAGTAGTGATAGTAATATATGCGATCTCCCTGTTACGACTTTAAAGTCACGTGAACTCAGCTACGGGAACCTGTCAAATGAGCTTTGCTGCCTGCAACGGAAAAAACAGAAACAGTGCAGCGGGAAAAGCTACACCCCAGCGCTTTCATCAAACTAGTTCTATTAAGAATGAATTCTAAAGGATTTAGCTATTTGGTCTTTCTGCTGTTCGTCTATCCTGTTTATCGCAGAGTAGCGTTCGAGCGATACAAGGCGACAGCGTTTTCCAGTAAGCGGTTGATGCTATGTGCAACTCGCTATGAATGCTCGGGGTGTTTAGCAGATGCAGCCATGCACATCTAAGCTTTGCTTGATACCTGGTGTCGGAAATCTGAAGGGCATGGCCGGAGAAGGGGGTAGTTATTCTGAGAAGCATTGAATAACTTTTAGACTTTTATCGTGTTTGGATTTAAGTGTCGTCCTGTGGAAATCCCGAGTGAAGTGGTACACTTTGTACCACTGCGAGGCTCCGTGCAGCGGTCCCCCCCTCACCTACTGGCTGTGGAAGCGTGGGGTTTCAGGTTCTTGTACAAGAGTGGTCTGCTTTTGATCAATATTCGGCAAGTCAGTGGGCACATTCTTATGAGCAGCACTTGAAAAGCTCTACTGCAGTGTGTGCTCACGGTGGCAGATCCCATGATGGGACGGCAGAGGGTGGTCTGCAGCTGATGTCAACGCAGTACCGCTGCTGGTACGCACATTGAAACGACCTT